ACGCTAAAGCACAAATTAAATATTTAGGTCCGCAGTTAGCGGATTTGTGCTTTAGCGTGCTGGTGCCCACCAATGGCTAAAACTAAAAGGCTGAAGTGAGGTTCTTCCTTGAAGAAGAATTTGGTTTGTTTACCAATCAGCCCGAGCGGGGCTAATCAAGCATTATGCTTTTGGCATACGTTTGGCTCTAAATCACACATACGTGATCTGATCTGAACCAGATTTTGTGTGCATCATAAGGGAGACCTGCTCAACACGTTTAGCTCCATCTGTCCATCCATCTGTTCACCTGATGAGATGAATGAAATAATGAAGGCCTGTGATGATTCCAATCAAACTGCTAACAGCTGGTCACTACTGAATGGTGACGRGGGACATCAGCAACGGTTGATGTTGTTCTTTCTTGTTTTAGTAATCAAATGTTCCTGATTCTTACTTTTAAAACCCCGTCCCAGCTCCTGAACAGATTCAATAAAAATAATTAAAAGTAGAAGAAATGATGCTGTTATCTTTTCCTACCCTTCCATCAGCACTAAGCAGGTCTGTTGTAGGGTTTTTGGTTCTTCTTTTCTTTTAATTGTGTACTTGTGCTTTTTGTTATTCTAGTTGATAAGTAAAAGTTAAAGTAAATGTAAGAGATGGGTCTTTTTTTCTGATGCAGTGATGTATCCTCTCATATCCTCATCCTGTGCCTCCCTGCCAGGTCTGTTTATGCTGAACCTTGTGTGTCGTGACCCGGCCCTGAGGAAGAGCGTCCTCCAGCGAGTCACGGCCGTGTTTCCTACTGTTCTGTCTCGAAAGATAGCCGAGGAAATCAACGAAGTCCTCCTGTGCTGTCGTCAAGAACAGGACGGCGCCCACATCCTTTCATCCCTCAACCAGGCAGCCAAGGATCTGCAGAGCGCTCTGTTTTCTAACAAGACTGAAGCTCATCGCACACCACATTTTGACATAACTGAGGCCTTAAAAAACCTACAAATAGAGTGAAATGTTGTGATTAGTTGTGTCACGATTGTATGAAAAGTGGCTCCTTAAAGTCTGTTTGAAAAGTAAGAACCACAGATGATGATTTTTATTTGATGCTCAAAAGGTTGGGAAAATGTAAATAAAAACAGATGGTGATGGTTTGCAAATTTCATGAACCCAAATAGAAAATATTAAAGTGATCCCCGATTAGTTGTAACATTAAACTTTANCCGTCCTCGTTGTCCGTCGCTGAGATGATCCTCTTTTTAACGTAGTCCATTGCTTTATTGGCATCCAGGAACTCCTTGCTTTCCTCCCCATGAGAGATGCGAAGCCGTGCAGGAAAAAGCAGGCCATAGCGAACATCACGTCRGTTGCGAAGAAGCCTCCTCACCTCCGTAAACGCTGCTCGAGCCTTGGCCACAGCCGCCATGTAGTCAGATGTGATGATAATCAGTGCCTCCTTAAAATGAAGAGGACCACGACTCCGAGCCCGACGCAGTATTTCCACACATTCTTGATAATAGTGAAGCTTCACTATTACTTCACTAGCTTAGCGACAATAACCCGCGTCTTATCGCCTGACCTGTTTCCACCTGGAGAGCGATGGGCTCGGTCAACCAGTGGCTCTTTATCCATCTGTAGGACCTCTTCTAGCAGTTTAGCCACTGCTGAAGTGGAGCTGGATTCTGGCGTCTCAGGAACTCCAATAATCCGCACGTTGCACCTTCTCATGCGCCCCTCCATATCATCACACTTCTTTTTGAGCCCAACGACTTCTTCTTTCAGTTCCAACACGGTGGTGTGCAGAGAAACAACCTCTTCGGACCAGTTTGACAAGCCGTCCTCCACCTCTTTAACGCTCTGTTTAACGTGGTCCAGRTCTGCGCGCAGTAGCATCGTGCCGTTAGCCACCTCCGCTCTCACCGCTTGTAGCTCCCCTTTTAATAAGAGTAAACTCTTCAGCCAGAGCCGCTTTTATTTCGGATTTGATCACAGCTGAGAGATCGGTTTTTCATAGCGGCAAGAATGTCCGACTTCAAGGAGAGTGTGTCCGCCTCGCTGCGGGAGGGAGAGGAGGGCACCGTAACTCCGGCTTTAACTGCAGTCTGCTCCGAGGCGGCATCGGGCCTAACAGCCGCAGAGCTAGAATGTTTGCCTTTCCTTGAGTTTGTCGCCATTCTTCTATTCTTCCAGGCAAGAATCACTCAGGAGTCGAGTCCGGACAGACCAAATGTTCAAAACAGCAAGGATATTTAGTAGAGAACCACAAACAGAACAAGTCAGAGCGGGAGCCACGCGACACATGTCTTACTCCTCCGCCATCTTGCCCCGCCTCCCTTACACTCACTTTCTAATGAACWATACAAATAAAACTATCAGACAGTAAATAATAAGTTCATAATTAATTAATAATAAGTTATATTCACATAAAAGTATATATTGTAAAATGTGCAATTAAATCTACNTTGTCGTCTCTCAACCAGTACAGTAAGGCTCTAATGTTGGCCGCCCAGTAGTAATATAAAAAGTTGGGGAGTGACAAGCCACCAAGACCATGGGGTAACTTTAACATCTTACTGGCTATCCGGATGACATTTCACTATTTAATTTTGTAAAGAAAGTCCTGGTGAGGAACACGCACGCTCTGAAATAGATAAAGTAATTTGGGCAATATTGTCATTTTGATCACGTTGATTCTACCCCCCAGGTAGGTATTCTGGCGTTTCAGGAACTCCAATAATCCGCACATTGCACTTTCTCATGCGCCCCTCCATATCATCACACTTCTTTTTGAGCCCAACGACTTCTTCTTTCAATTCCAACACGGTGGTGCGCAGAGAAACAACCTCTTCGGAACAGTTTGACAAGCCGTCCTCCACTTCTTTAACGCTCTGTTTAACGTGGTCCAGGTCTGCGCGCAGTAGCATCGTGCCGTTAGCGACCTCCGCTCTCACCGCTTGTAGCTCCCCTTTAATAAGAGTGAACTCTTCAGCCAAAGCCGCTTTTATTTCGGATTTGATCACAGCTGAGAGATCGTTTTTATAGCGGCAAGAATGTCAGACCTCAAGGAGAGTGCATCCGCCTCGCTGCGGGAGGGAGAGGAGGGCACCGAAACTCCGGCTTTAACTGCAGTCTGCTCCGAGGTGGCGTCGGACCTAACAGCCGTCAAGCTAGAATGTTTGCCTTTCCTCGAGTTTGTCGCCATTCTTCTACTCTTCCAGGCAAGAATCACTCAGGGGTCGAGTCCGGAAAGACCAAATGTTCAAAACAGCAAGGACATTTAGTAGAGAACCACAAACAGAACAAGTCGGAGCGGGAGCCACGCGACACATGTCTCACTCCTCCGCCATCTTGCCCCGCCTCCCTTACACTCACTTTCTAATGAACAATACAAATAAAACTATCAGACAGTAAATAATAAGTTCATAATTA